TGGGGAAGAAGATATAACAACTATACTTTCATGAAGTTGTTACAACAAGCAAACGGAAAGGACATTCTTGGGGGGGAGGGGAGAGAGGTAGGAGGGAGGGAGGTGTCGGTGATGGGCCATAATAATCATATACAGTGTATATTGACAAAATAAAAATTTAACAACAAAAAAAAATAAAAAATAATGGAAACAAACTATTATAAAGTGCTTAGCTATGTGTCTAAATTACAGTAAGCCATCAATAATCATTGTAATTCCTTAAGCATGCTGAGGCTTGCAGTTTGGAATTTTCAAAGTCCTTCTGTTTCTTAGATTGTTGACATACTGTATTCCTACATTTTTGCCTTAGTTTTTCATTAATGATGAAAAAAAATATTTCTAATACTTGGTCAAGTGATGAAGATCAAAGGTCCCTATTTATGTTACAGATAGATGTTTAATCGCCTCTTTCTAAATGCCTAGTTTTCCTATCATAGTATATGAATGAATCAGTTGATCTCTAATATTGGCAAAGGGCACTGGGTTCTTTTAGTATGCAGCTTAAAGATGAGGCCAGAATGTACCACTGTAACCCTACTGGTACTTCATTACTGGTACTTCAGTACTGGTTAATACATAGTCACTGCCCCAACTTACCACCTCTCCCCAAATGCTTTGCCACCCACCACCATTTGCTGTTTCCCTGGGACCTTCGTGGATCTCCTAATAGCCCAGCAACTAAAGGGTTAATACCTCGAAAAGTAGTCTGTCCAGCATTCTTTCTAATTGGTTGATGCACATGCCTTAACTATGTTTAAATATTTGGGGGGATGTCATTCCTGGTCTTTTTAGACAAATGTCTGTATCATCTCTTTTCCATTTGCTTGAATTGAGTCTTATCTTGATATTAATGTCTTTATTAGTACAACATTAATAGCTTTACTGATTAATTAGTTTTTCTACATTTGTATTTACCACCCATTTGTAGCATTATATCTGATGTTCAGACAATAAAATGTAAAATATTTTGTTGTTTTAATTATACCACTCCATGAAAGTGACAACTGAAATCACAAAGACCTATCAGTCAATAGTCAGCTCCAGAGGTCACCCACAAAGATTATCCTGTGGTTTTTTTGTTAAGGAGTAGTCCACTCTAACTGAGGCAAAAAATGGGAATAGCAGCACACTCCACTTGGTACAGTGGTTGTCACTGCACAGGGCTCATATGGTGGGTATCCTTTCAAAGAGCCAGCTCTTGCCTTCAAGGAGTTGACTAAATACTTTCCCTGAATAGGAAAGCTTCCTTTTCACCTCTTCTTTTGTGATTTCTTCATTATGAGTCATTTTTGGTTATATGATTTGCTTTTGATAGGTTCGATAATATATCTTACACACTCTCAGCCAGGAAAATGTTTGAGCCATGCATATTATGGAGTTGTCACCAGACGGTTACATTTTTAGTTGCTGCATTCTGGAACTGTTAGACATTAATTGCTCAAAAAATAATTGTTTTCCCCAGTGATAATAGTTTAATGTCACCTTATACCATGCTTGAAGGAAGTAAGAACACATTTTGATAAAGAATTTTTTTCTATAAATAATTGTTGTAGGATACAGATTACAATATTCCAGATTTTCTTGATCATGAAATTAAATTAACATTCATGGTATATATATTTGGTATTTTTTCCCTAGCTTTCTAACTTTGGTATAAATGGTGATATAAAAATACAATGTAATACCATATATTAAATGCTATACATATGCATGTATTAGCATATACATATATTTAGCATATATTAAATGCTAAAAACTTATCCCATTCTAATCTGGGGAAAAGGAGGAGATTTGGGGTTTGAAATAGTTTTTATTGTTTTGTGTATGTGTGTGTGTGAAGAGGAAATAATGCCATTTTACCTACATGTAAAGAAGAGATTCCATATGTATGTTTCCTTTTTTTTTTGGGGGGGGGGGGTTGCTAAATAAAAATATATTTTAGAAAAATAAGAGCTATTTTAAAAATCCTGTATAATAAACCATGTATCCCTTTATTCCCCCAAAGTGTAGCTGACACACGTTTGATTATTTGTCTGTTAAGGACATCACTTAATATCTTAAACGTCCTGAGCTATATTTTCTGTCTCCACATTCATTTACTTATATGACATTTATGACAGTTCTTTGTGGATGACAAGTATTATTGTCTTCATTTTTAAAGATGAGAAAAATTTTACTTTGCAATGGCTGTTCCTTTTTCATACTGCTGTATGTATACCAGCATCACCCTATATACAATGCAGCTTTTTTCTTTTTTTAACTAGTCAGTGAAAATTTCACCCTGAACTGAAGAGCAAAGCATGAGCTCAAGACAAGAATGTAGGGCATATTCACGTGTTGCTGAAAAACAACAAACTATGTTGGAGGCTGAGGTTGTCCAAGGAGAAGGGGATGGCAAGAGGGCAGTGCTCTGGGGTGTGTAAGCATTGAGAAGATGGATACAGGAACAAGGGGTGTGCAGGAGACTAAGAAAGGGGCTGGGGTCACCTGCAAATGGGCAAGTGTCAAGAGCTTAGGACAGTGGTTCACAAACTGTGGTCATGGAACACCTGGAACTTGTCAGAAATGCACATTCTCGGATTCTGCCCTGACCTAGTGAGTCAGAAAACTCAGGGTGTGGGGCCCAGTTGTCTGTTTGAACAAGCTCTGCAGGTGATTCTGATGCATGCTAACATTTGAGAACCATTGGCTTAGAATAAATGGTCTGGGTTGTCCAAAACAATGAGGGAGCCTTGCGGAAAACCTTGTTGCACACGTCACACACATAGCAGGAATTGGAATGACACCCAGGATGGCCAAATATAAATATGGGTGTAGCTCTCCAGTGGTCAGGGGTATTTATTGACTACCTGGCTCTATTTGCACTAGGCCTTAGAAACACAATAGTGAACAAGACAGGCCTTGGTAGTGGCTCTCAAAGAGTTTGTTTTAGTAGACAATGGCAGAGAAGAAATTATTATGCAATTAATGCATTAATTAAAATTATGTCAGTGGCCAAGAAAGGAAGTCTCGGGATGCCAGAAAACCATACGTGTCATCTCAGTTCCACTTGAAAGGAGACTGATATGGATTTAAAGGTATAAGAGTTTTGTTATGTTTTGTTTTGTTGAGGGGGAGGGGAGGAAATAAAATCAGTAAAAGATAATGGGGACCAAAGTAAGATTAGTCAGAAAAGTCCCAGATTGTGATACAGATCTACAAAGTCTTGGCC